AAACGATTTCGATGTTACAACACTACTCTCCAACCGTCTAACGAATTTTCGATCAGCATACGTGTCCTGACGCGAGTTTCACAGTTTTTACCCATCCCACAAGTGCTCAACGCCGCTAAAGAAGTTTTCACTTCAAAAACTACAGAACTGTACAGTGTACTCGTAGTATACAAAAATCACAACTGCTCTCATTTTTATGGCAAAATTTAAAGGGCACTGCGGTACCTTACACACATTTAAAACAATTACTTTTAAATAAAAATTCTTGTTCTGCAAGGTATAATTGGTAAAAGTAGATATAAGCAGCCGTTTTTGAGATATCTGGATTTATAAAAAGGCGTCCTTTAAATTTTACAATAAAAATGAGAGCAGCTTTAAATTTTTCACCCCACAAACCCTCCCTAGCCAAATATTTTGAAAATACACCAATTATTAAAAAAAATATTTATGAAAAACTAAATTGAACTTTTAACACTCTGTATTTTCGAAATCATCCACTTTTGGACTGAAGTAAGTTGGGTTAAATCGTTATATTTAAGCCTCAGGAATATGCGGTAGCATTTTTTCTGTAATATTATAAATTGGCCAACATTGCTTTCTTGGTGTTCTACTTAAAACAAATTACAACTCTATTACTGATCTTTTTTTAAACTGAAAATTGATGAATTTCTAATCAAAATGATTAAAATGTAACCAAATATTCAAGTAAATTTTATTTATTTGAAAATAAACCATTTACAAAATTGTTAACATTTAAAACTACAAAATATTTTGAATGTATGTAAAAGTGCTATCCCCATCTGAATATGTCTATAATTTGTGTATTATTATAGTAAAAGCTGGTACCATTACACTTTCTTGGACTTCTACATACATTTAATAAGCTGTTGCCAACAAGTTTACACTTTCCACGGTTGTTAGTGGAGACAAAATTCGTATAGTTATGATCCTTGTCCATTTGATTTATTTGATTTCAAAACACTTGTCTGCAAACCTCTCGTATAATATACTTGAAAACTTTGCTACATTTTACCTGAAGAAAGAACCTTTATTTAATTAGGAAATCCATACAACTAATGGTAATCTTGTAGTTTAATTTAAAAAAAAAAATATGACAAATAAAATAATATATCTATAAAGAAATATAAAAATAAACATTTTCTGTACCTGCCAAAATCCTGCATTTTAAATATGCTGTCGCTGCTTGGATGATTCTCTTCTCATTATACTGGCGCGAGTTGCGATATGAGACGAAGTAATAAAAAAATAAAAGTACAACTAAAATATAATAATTATAAATCAAAAACGAAATGAGCACAATTTAGTGTCATCTTTATTCGCTGGTTATCCAAAACTTTTACTTCAATGCATTCATAACAAAGTTTTGAAATGTTTTTCTTGAAATGATACAAGACACATTATAATTTATCGCTAAAATGATATATAGTTACTTTTTTTAGTTATTTTTCCCTGTGTAAATAGGACTTTTCAATTCGCTCCTCCTAGTTTAAAAACAGGGTATAGAAATAGCAGAAAATGATACTTTTAACATAGAAGCCAGGCATAAAGCAAGTTCTATGCTATTAAGTATCCAATCTTTTGAATTTATTTGCAGTGTAATAATTTGGTATGATGTTTTATTCCAGATTGGCATTGTAAATGATTCAAAGTGTAACGACTGATATTAAAGTGTGCCAAAACTATTTAAAAAATCCAGTTGATAATTTTAAAAATTATAGAAATGATAATGTTTTCGAGGAAAAACTTGCTCAAGCTAGAGAACTAGCAGCCGCACTTGAGACAGAGCAAGGTTTTCCTCCATTAAATACTGTTAGACGAAAGTATAAACCCAAACAATTCGATTATGAACAGAGAGAAGAAACACCTCAAGATCCAAAAACAGTGTTTAAAATATATTTCTTCTTAAAAATAATTGATCAAACACTAAGTTCTTTAAATAGCAGATTTGAAATGATATCTGATTACGACAACGTTTTTGGTTTTTTTAGTGATATTTTTAAATTAAATGACGAGGATCTTTTAAAACTCTGTCGTGCTCTACAGCAAAAGCTAACTGATTAGAAAAAGGAGGAGGCTGACGTAGAAGAAAATGATTTATTTAATGAGATAAAAGCCCTAAGATTGTTTTCATTACCTGAAGCGTCAAATCCTCTCGACATTTTACAATATATATTTGAAAACAATCTAACTTTATCCCTACCAAATATTACCATTTCGTTAAGAATCCTGCTTACTTTACCTGTATCTGTAGCTTCTGGTGAAAGATCCTTCTCAAAATTAAAAATATTTAAAAATTATTTGAGGTCTACCATGTCACAAGAAAGATTATCGGGTTTGGCAATCTTAGCTATAGAGCAAGAGATCCTCGATAAAATTGATTTTGACAATATTATAAAAGAATTTGAAGCAGCCAAATCCAGAAAAAAATCTATTTAATTTTTGGATAATTGAATATTTTATTTGTTTACTGTTTGGTTTGTTTTTTCGTTTGTAAGAATAAAATTGGTTTTTGAAATATCTGTTGTTTCATTACAAAATTAAAATAAAATGTGGTTTCGCAATTCGCTCAAATGTTAAACGACTACAAGAATATTACAGCAAACCAGGAAATTTTAAAAACATATGTAACAGCTTCAAAATATTATTTATATAAGTACTACATAATATTCAAAGGGCGCCAAAATATTTCCGGCACGCGGGCGGCGATAACCCTTGCGGGGGCCCTGATATAATGTTGGTATAGTATTAGTTATATAGTTCCTAGTATATAAGTTCTGATAAATATCGATATATGTGAATCACTTGCTTACGTAAGGACAGATGATATAGCAATTCGGCTATTCATCATTCATTACTGATTTATATTTTGAAAGAGAGAAGTCGATAATAAAAAGTAACATTTAAAGTGTTTTTATAAATATTTCTAACAGGATATTTCTATAGGTCTGTGAACTTGGCACCACAACATTGCAAAAAAGGGTCAAAAATGTGTGAGAGGTTTGCCCATCGTTTGCCCATTATTGCCCATGAAATAACTTTTTTTGCCCACCCTCTGTTTTCACAATATATCGAAAATAATTTTCGCGGGCCAACTTTCAGACAAAAGTTAAAATTGTCATAATTTAATTTCACGGCATAATAGCATTTCGTTTGCCCACGTTTGCCCATAAATTAGTTTTTTAAAAAAAAAAAAATTAGAGAAAATAAAAAAAAAAACAAAAAAAATATTCACAAAAATGCAATATGATAAGTGCTTTAGATAGTCATTCGTTAGCCCATGTTTGCCCATTTTTTTGTTTCACAAATTTCCATAACGATCTTCACAAAAAAAATTTAAATAAAAAAGGGATTTGATGACAATTCCACTATCCGAGATTTATACGAGTTAATTTGTTATAAAAAAAATGGGCAAACATCGAAATAATTCCAAAAAAAGTGTAAGTTGCTAAAAAATGTATTCTGAGGATTGACCATTTTTTAAAAAAATCCTCATCCAAAAGGGGGGCTTAATTTCCGATAGTAGTGCATTTCTGTGTTTTCAGTTGATATAAAAAATGGGCAAACATCAAAATGATTCCAAAATGATTCCAAAATAATTAGAAGTTGCTAAGAAATGTAATGTGAGGATTGCTCATTTTTTAAAAAAATCCCCGTCCAATAGGGGGGCTTAATCTCCGATAATAGTGCATTTCTGTGTTTTTACTTAATATAAAAAATGGACAAACATCGAAATTATTCCAAAATAATTGTTCTGAGGATTGCCCATTTTAAAAAAAAAAATCATCGTCCAATAGGGGGGCTTAATCTCCGATAATAGTGCATTTTTGTGTTTTCAGTTGATATAAAAAAATGGGCAAACATCGAAATGATTCAAAAATAAGTGTAAGTTGCTAAGAAATGTATTCTGAGGATTGCCCATTTTTTAAAAAAATCGACCAATAGGGGGGCTTAATCTCCGATAATAGTGCATTTCTGTTTTTACTTAATATAAAAAAATGGGCAAACATCGAAATTATTCCAAAATAATTGAAAGTTGCTAAGAAATGTATTCTGAGAAATGCCCAAATACATTTACTTACAATTATTTTGGAATCATTTCGGTGTTTGCCCATTTTTTCATATCAGATAAACACACATAAATACACTATTATCGGAGTTTATGCCCCCCTATTGGACGAGAATTTTTTTAAAAATGGGCAATCCTCAGAATACCTTTCTTAGCAACTTACACTTATTTTTGAAATATTTCGATGTTTGCTCATTTTTTATATCAAATAAAAACACAGAAATGCACTATTATCGGAGATTAAGCCCCCCTATTGGATATAGATTTTTTTTAAAAATGAGCAATTCTCAGAATACTTTTTTAGCAACTTACAGTTATTTTGGAATCATTTCGATGTTTACCAATTTTTTTATATTAAGTTAAAACACAGAAACTCACTATTATCGCAGATTAAGCCCCCCTATTGGACGAGGATTTTTTTTTAAATATGGGAAATCCTCAGAATACATTTCTTAGCAACTTTCAATTATTTTGGAATCATTTCAATGTTTGCCCATTTTTTTATTTTAACTGAAAACATAAAAATGCACTATTATCGGAGATTAAGCCCCCTATTGGACGATGATTTTTTTTTTAAATGAGCAATCCTCAGAATACATTTCTTAGCAACTTACACTTATTTTTGAATCATTTCGATATTTGCCTACTTTTTTATATCAAATAAAACACAGAAATGCACTATTATCGCAGATTAAGCCCCCCTATTGGACAAGGATTTTTTTTAAAAATTAGCAATTCTTAGAATGTTTTTTGCAATTTACATTTTTTTTTTTTTTTAATTATTTTGATGTTTGCCCATTTTTATATCACTAATAAACGCATATAAATGCACTATTATCGGAGTTTAAGCTCCCCTATTGGACGAGGATTTTTAAAAAAATGGGCAATTCTCATAAAACATTTTTTAGTAACTCACAAATATTTTGGCATTATTTCGATGTTTGCCTATTTTTTTTTTTACAACAAATTAACTCGTATAAATTTCGGATAGTGGAATTGTCATCAAATCCCTTTTTTAATTAATTTTTTTTTTTGAAGATCGTTATGGAAATTTGTGAAACAAAAAATGGGCAAACATGGGCTAACGAATGATTATTTAATGCAGTTATCACATTGCATTTTTGTGAATATTTTTTTTTGTTTTTTATTTTCTCTAATTTTTTTTTTTTTTTTTTAACTAATTTATGGGCATACGTGGGCAAACGAAATGCTATTATGCCGTGAAATTAAATTATGAAAATTCTAACCTTTCTCTGGAAGTTGGCCCGCAAAATTTATTTTCGATATATTGTGAAAACAGAGTGTGGGCAAAAAAAGTTATTTTATGGGCAATAATGGGCAAACGATGGGCAAACCTCTCACATATTTTTGACCCTTTTTTGCAATGTTGTGATGCCAAGTTCACAGACCTTATTTCTATGGATAAGACTCTTTTCCTATTTTATTCATTGCATCTTTATTTTAACTCCAATTTTAAAATTAATATGTTTATTAGTTTGAGAAAAAAAAGAACTACATTTAAATCGTCTTATTTGAAAAATAATGCATTTTTAATATACCAATTTGTTAGGTAGAGTTACATTATTTTTAACAATTTTATTGAAATTTGTATTTTTTTTTCTGACTGAACCCTTTATATTTTTATTAAAAACTTTTGTAGGATGATAGTTTAATCCTGTATCTTTTGGTAAAAAATAATAAATTATATTAAATATTGTGGTGTCTAGAATGAACTACTTTTAATGAGTCACCCTCAATCAATCGCCCTTAACTAACAAACTTGTATGAGTATATTTGTCACTAAAATTATTTTCCCGGAGGAAAAACATCTTGGTGCGTCTCTGGTCGAAGTAATTTCGAAAACTCGACTTGAGAAAAATGAAACTCCTTCGGAACTTGGAAAGATTTCATAATTGGACAAAAAAGACAAAAACTAATTGAATCATTTATATCGTTAGGTGTAAAATTAGAATAATAAATGGAGCGAAAACGATCAGAGAGCAGGCCGGGGATGATTGATGTCGCTATTCTTTTGTTTCTGTGGGGGAAAGTGAACGTCGGAAACGGACCGGCATCAGCGGAAAGCCGGGGTTGAAAACATCGGGGCAGATAACGGGTCAAGGAAGGAAAATATTTTTCGAGAATGAAGTTCATATTTAATGGATGTTTTATATAATGAAACTTAATGAGCGATGAGGCGATGTTTTTTGCCTAAAAATTATGCTTTACTGCTTCGAAGTAATATGTTGAACGTCTGATCAGCAAAGCGTTTTTTATTTCAGCGCAAACTCCATTCATAATAAATTTAAAATAGTCACAAAATATAACGAATGTACTATAAAAAAAATTCTACTCTAGGGGTAGTATTCTCGAGTCATGAATATAGATTCGCATGCGAGATTATTGATTTGTCTCACTTGGTTTTCGTTCAACAAAGTGAGACACATTGTAAAACACGTATGTGAATGTCGGTATTCGTGATTCGAGAATACTACCCCTGAGCTTGAAATACAATTGCACATGTCAATGTTATTAAGTGAAGTATAATTTCAAACATCTAATAGAGTTTTTTACGCAGACTTCAACAGAACAATTAATTTTATGCACATATGATTATTTTATGTCAATGCGGTATTTTAGTGATGACGAATTAAATGAGCCAACCAAAGTTATTTATTTCATTTTTAATATTTTTGGGTTATAGGTATTTTTTTATTACAAAATCCATTTACAATAGTTCTTTTAGGATTTCTTAAGTATTTGTCACTTCTTTGGTGCTTTCTTCAGTACTAGTTTATAGTTTTTTAATATTATTTAATAAATCAAGTATTATTTTATTAGTTTTTTTTTAATGACATTAAAATTTAAGACTTTTTACGTTTTTGTCGTTCCTTTATCCATCAAAATAACTGAGTGTGTCATTGGCTTCTACGGAAGCGTAGAAGGGCTACTAAAAAATAGATTTTTTTCTAAACCCACATGGATATTACCTTAT